AGAGGTCTCAAGAGATCTAGCACCACGGACAGCTCCACAGTCAATATTTCTTTTCGCATTTGCTTATTATTTCCTATATGTATATCATTTTTTGCCTTGTATAGAAGAAGAGGGCAGGATTCAACTAGGTTGTTGCATGAGCAGAATGAGGTGTGCTCATGCAATGGGGCTTTCCCCCTTCTCCTCCCCCTGCGCCCCCTAAATCTGTTCTGGAAGGCTGGTGAAAATCCATCATGGGTTTGGGGGCACACATAGGAAGAGAGTGGGCGAAAGTCCCATTAGGCAAGTTGACCTTGTTCCACTCATGCATACCCACTTAGCATTACACTGAAACCCACCCATGGTGTCAGATGTTTTAGCCACAAGATCTGCCTTTAACCCTAGCCTGCAGCAATAGGACCGACATTTTCTGTTAGGGGGCATCATTTGGTATTGTTCATATTACAACACAGTTCAGTCAGTAGAACACAAGACTCACAAGGCCCACGTTGGGCAAAAGATTCCTACATTTCAGGGGGTTGGACTAGATGACCCTTGTTGTCCCTTCCAACTCTACAATTCTAGGGCAAACAAATTCATTGGGGAGGAAATAAAGGATACAGTCTTGTTCTTGGCAGTACTCGAGATTAGACTGTAAAATACAATGTGCACTTTAAGAGCAATTGTTCTGAAAATAAATCTATACAATACCTATATCGACCCAAGTCAAAGAGTCACACCCTTTGGTTGTTTTATATCAGGGGTGACCAGCTCTCAAGAGACTGCGATCTACTTTCAGAATTAAAAACTGGCAGTGATCTACCCCCGTTTTCAGCTGAAAGTTGAAAACGGAGGAGGAGTCCCGTTGTTTTTTAGGGGTTAAAAAAAGCTTTTGGGGGGAACTTCTATTTTTTGGGAGGGGTTAAAGGCAAGGGACAAAGGGGTAAGGTCACTCACAATAAGATCGCTATGGATGAAAACAGCAGCACAGAGAACGCTCCGTCTTCCCTTCCAGAGATCAAACAACAATGGAGGGTGGGCCGAGGCAGGAGTCAGTTTTAGTGATGCTAAGGAAAGGGAGCCAGAGATCGACCGCGATCTACCAAAACCTCGCAGGGATCTACCAGTACATCGTGATCGACCTGTTGGACATCCCAGTTTTATATAAATGGGATTGTGCCCTTGACATAGACACCTATTGAACAGGTTCAGCTGATAAACCTGTTTAATAGGTATCTATGCCAAGAGCACAAACCCATTCAGAGTGAAGTACAAGTGAGTTAGCAAGAAACAGTGCATTCCTGGGAAGTAATTGGTGGAAAGTAAATACAAGGGAAGGCAACGCCCCCACCCATGTCATCCATTCATATACACAACCTCTTTATGTTAGAAAAAGGTTTTACCAAAAGAAAAAAAAATGAGACATGCAGTGCTAGGTGTCACTGGTTTGTCCTAACACCCCACCAGTTGAAGACCAAAGGTGTAAGATTGTGCATGCTCCCCTACAAGGCCACCAATCATGGTAAGCCATTTATACGTGGAGAGACTCACACTCATGCAGTGGCATAGCGTGGGGGGTGCAGGGGGGGCCGGCCGCACCGGGCGCAACATCTGGGGGTTAGGGGGCGCAAATCCACGGGTTAGGGGGCGCAAATCCACGGGTTAGGGGGTGCAAATTACTTGCCTTGCCCCGGGTGCTGACAACCCACGCTACGCCACTGCACTCATGCGCTTGTCACATGTGACATGGCTCTCAGAAACTATACCGTTCCGTTTCCTACATCATAACTAGCTTCTTATAGTAAAAAATTCATGTGGCAAATACTGAAAAAGACGAGATAGCTACATCTCTTCACAGATGCAAAACCTGCTTAATGCCTAGAACACACGCTTCCTTCCTTTTCCATATTTCCATTAGCTCAACTTGTACATTTTTTCCTATTAATAATATCTGTTTAACATCAGTAAATGAGTGAAATGTATGTTAACAAGCATGAGACTACTCAGAAGATCAAAGTCTGCCTTGGTATTTTACAGGATTTCTTCCCTGGAGTACAAAAAAAAGGTGCTTTTTTTAAAAAAAAAGGATGTTACTAAACCTTCATGCTCCACTTGGAAAAAGGAGAACCACACACAGAAGCATATTCCATGCATGGATCTCTGTCAGTGGATCGGGAACCTATGGGTGAACATGAACATTCATTCAGATGCAGATGTCGCCTCATTGCATTTAGCAATACACGCATTCAGATGTGCAACCCATCCACCTTCTACAGCAACTAGAATCAGAATTGCAGAGTTGGAAGGCAACACAAGGGTCATTTAGTCACATAACTACCTGTATACACAACTAAAACTGGAATGGGAGATCAACAACAAAAAATGCATTTTCCTTAATATTGAAACATGACAGAAAGATTATATATACTTAAACTTCTCAAAGATCACAAGTAGCTCCATTCCAACAGTAATCATTATCTGTTCATTAGATTTTATGACTCTATGAATTAATGCATCCTAAACTAATGACTGGAATCTGAATGTGTGACCCACTCCAGGGACAGCCTCATCTGAGGTTGATGTTGATGAGATATTTAAGTTCTGCCTGTGGTGTTCTGTCTGTGATGGTACATTCACATGTGCACACTCTCAGCTGATGCTACAATTATCAACCAAGGAATGCAGTCTTGGGTCTCACTTTTCCAAAACTCCACATTTTGCAGATTGTTTAATAGTGGGAACCTATGCATGACGCTCAAAAGTAAGCACTATTAAGTTCAATTGGATTTACTACCAGGCAAGCAGGTCTAGGATTGCAACCTTTATCTTCTCATATATGCTTGCAAATGTAACCTTATAGAAACAGATTCCTCCTTATTTGAATTTTAGATTGTAATGAATGTTTTCAAAATCCCAAATGCTTTTCAAGTAAATTTGACTTTTCTTCATCTGACGTATGAAGAAATAAGCACTGCCTGCCTACTTGTTACCATTACAATCTCATTTTCAAGCCATTCATTCAAATAATTCACACCAAAGGTGATAATTTATAGACAAATATTTATATTTGTACAAAAATAAGTATCATAATCACACTGCCTTCAGTTTTCTACAGATAAGGAATTACAGTCTTGCTATGACCACAGCTGTACCCTTGCTCAACACAGAAATTCCACATAAGATGGTTATTTTAAATGCTACTGTCCCTTGATTTCCTTTCTAAGCAAATGTGGAAAGGGCATTACGTTGAACGATGCAGAAAATATTTAAATAAAACCAGTAATTTAAAAACCAAAAGGTGCAATGAAGTATATGACAGTGAAGCATGTTCGTTTGCTCCTGATTTGTATATCTACCAAACACCAAGTGCCAAATGGAAGAAGCCTACATGGTGTCACCTTAAGACAAATTTTGGACGAGGACAGTTAACCTTTCTTCTCTGTAGTCACTCTTTACAGCAGGGTTATCTTGGCAGTGATCGTCAGGCATAAGTATTACATAAGAAACTGCTGCCACCTTCAGGAAAGGTCCAACATTGAATCAGCATTTATTTGCCGCAAACACGTTTGCTTGAATTGTGACCAAAAAAATCCAAGCACAAAACAATAAGCCTCCAACGTGTCCGCAACAAAGCCCCTCGATAACTTCGTGTGAATGACCAGGAAACGAAAACTGAACAGGCTAAGGAATTCTCCGCTGAGCGCTCTGCAACGGTCCCTTTGCCCTTGGCCCACCCAGCCTAAGTGCACAAGATGTGTTACCCAGCATTTACAGGAAGAATTATGCATGGCAGACAAACGACGACGACGGGGGGGGGGACTGCAAAATTAACTCTTTCTGGGCACTGGCTGATTGGTTTTGCACAACCGACTGATGAAAGAATGCCAGCCAAATCCTCGCGCACTTTTCTTCTTCATCCTTTCCCCGTTTCCCAACAAGCCTCTCTGTGTCTTGTGTGCCACCGTACCTGCCAACCAGCTAGCGCGAACTGAGACAAGAGAGGAGAGTGCGCCAAGAGGAGCGCGCAAACCGAGAGGACGCTCCGAAGGGGGCAGCGTGCCCACGGATCACAGCAGCTGCTCCTGAAAGACGGAGGCGCCGGCATCCTCCTCTCTTTGCCCCCTCGCATCGCTAAAGGGGGGAGGGCAAGCCACCCCACCCGCTGCATCCCTCTCCTGCCTGCCTTCCCCCCGCTAAGCGCTAGAAATCCGACTGGCCTCCCGCTCGCCCTTCAGGAGTTCACGGAGAGCATCAAGTGGCGCTCCAAGTACGCAAACGCTGCAGCTCAGCTCAAGCTCAGCTATGCGGGTGGCCAAGCGCCTGCTCGCGGCTCGCCAACCACAAATCCCTGACGTGCATCTGTTGCTTAAATAACGGGCGGCGCTTTCTCGGCACGCCAAGGGCTGCAGGTTTGAGCCCAGGCTGCAGGGCCAGGAAGCAGCTGCCCGCGGGAAACCAGCTGCAAATTCGCTAAACACCAGCCTCTGGTGGCGTGGTGGAAGCCAGGCCACTGAGCATGTCAAAAGGGGTGGGGGCAGCGAGAATCAGATCCGAAGTGATTCGGTTCCAAACAGCTGGAGCCATCGTTTCCATCCAATGCCAGCCTCTGCTGCTGCTGCAGACTGTACACAAACACGGATCGGAGTGATTCCCTTTGAAACAGCTGGAGTCCCTTCAAACATGATTTCCTCTTTCCCTTTTGGACTCGCACAGCTTCTGCCCAAGGCCAAGCCTTGCAGCATAGCATCTAAATTATATATGCATTTAAGGCACCAAGGAGGAACCCAAACAGGAACTCGAGTGACTCCATCTAAACGGGTGGCCTCCCCTTGGAAGCTCTCATCCTGCCATCCCATGCCAAACAGCTGGCTGCAGGTCGGCATCCAAGGCTCTGGCAGCGGCAGGTCCCACCTTCTGCCCCATCCATCCGGCGTAAAGGCAACGGGACTGTGTGGCCCTCCCGCCACCGAAAGGTGCCCGGCGCTGGCCACGCCGAGAGAGCCCCCTCCCGCCCCACTCACCTCGGTGTCGTAGTAGCGCAGGTCCAGCGAGTAAGGGTCGAGCAAGGACTCGTTGAGGATCTGCTCCATGGCCAGTTGCATGGCCGGCAGGACCCCCCGGCCGATCCTGCCCTTCTCCACCGAGTCGCTGAGCGGCATCAAGCCCATGATGGCGATGGGGGTCGTGGCGGCGGCGTGGGGCAGCGACCCCGCCGGCGCCCGGGAGTTGCTTCGCGACCAAGCCGAGGAGACCAGCGGCGGCGGCGGCTGCAGGAGCAGCAGCAGGAGCAGGAGCAAGGCAGAGGTGGTGGCCGCGCTGGGCCGCCGGGGCAAGGCAGGCATCCTGCGGGAGAGGTCAGGGGGGCACAAGCACGAGGGCGCCCGCTGCCCTCCGCCAGGCAATGGCCCCGGCAGGGAGGAAGGGGCGCGCACGCTGCGGCCCCCCCGGCTCTAATCCTCCTGGCAATGGCGCCGGCTCCTTCCTCGGGGCGGCCAAATGGAACCACTAAGCAGCAGCAGCAGCCGCGACGGAGCCGCTGCCCGCCACCCCCGTTTCCCACCCACCCCACCCCCAAGTCCACAAGCGGCGGGTCGCGAGGGCGCCTCCTCAGCCCCTCACTCAGCCGCAGCCAGGCTGGGCGAGGGCGCGCGCTTGCCTCCCTGCTCCCGTGCAGGTTCCGGAGGCGACGCGGAAACGCGACGAGGGCTGAGGGGAAAACAATTGGGGCGGGAGGGGGGTTCTCGGCTCTTCCACAAGGCTGGGGACGCTAGTGCCGCATTCCCCCGGAGCCCTCCCGCCGCTGCCGTGCTTCTCCGTTGCCGCCGCCGCCGCTGCTGCAAGCAGACACCACGCCGCGCCACACAGCGCGCGCAGAGTGGCGCGCACAAACCGGCCAAAAGGGGGGAAACGGCGGCGGCGGCTGGATGCAGTAGGCGAGAGCCCTTCCGTGCGCCCGCCCAAATCCTTCTGCCACTCTCGGCTCCTGCTACTGGGCTTCTTGGCTCGCTCGCCCGGCTCCTGCCCTGCCTTCCTCCCCGGCGGCGGCGGCGGCGGCGGGAGAGGGCTGGTCGGCTGCCGCTGGGGAACGGCGGCTCTTCTGCTGAGGAGACGACGCACACCAACGCGAGACGCAGGAGGAGATGCAGGGTTTGGGCACGTCCAGCAGCCCATTGGAAGGCGGGCTGGGGCGGGTGGGAGAGGAAAGAGGGCCGCTGGGGAAGGCGGGAAAGGGGCGGCTTGGCGCGAGGCGGGGGGCGCAGCGGCGTCTGCCCCTTTCCTCGAGGCGGTGGCGTGCTCAGGTGCCCCTCTCTTTCACACACACGTGACGCACGGATTATTCTTGTTGTTATTATCATTTCTTTGCTTTGGTTTTTCAAAGTTAAAAGGTTGGCTGGGCACAAGCCGAGGGGCGCTTGGGAAAGACTTGAGGCGTTTGGCTGGGGCACTGGCTTCACGTTCAGAGTTCCACCGCCTATTCTTTCGTTTCCCTCAGGAACAATGCACTTTTTCCCATTAACTTCCTCTAAACATGAACCTGTCTTACTCTCATTTATTCCCATGTCTTGTTCCTAGGCTCATGGCCTAGCCCTCAACTGTCTCCTCCAGGCCTGCTCAAGGCATGGCTTGCTAAGCCAAAGGCAGCCCATCAGCCATGTTTTGAGGCCTGGCAGCACCTCCCTCCTTTCTTTCTCTCTCTTCCCTGAGGAAAGTAGCAAAAACAGGAGGCAAATCAAGCCCTGCCAAGGCGCCACACATACTTTGTGAGCTTGTTTGGATTTGTTCTGGTTTGGGCAGCAGCACCTCCTCAAGTTCTGTCACCTGAGAGACTTCAATGAATGAAAGATAGCCAGGACTAAGCCTGGAACCTTTTTTCCATGCCAGGCATGTGCTCTCAGCCTCCGAACCAATGTCCCTCCCACATGTCAAGTGTCCTTGGCAATGTGTCTTTGCCTACACCAAGCACAGCATCACTGCGCACCATCTGTGTACCAAGGAGAGCCAGTCAGCTCTTCTTTTCGGAAGCAAAGCTAGAAGGTTTTTTTGTAGCCTCTGAAAAGCCGCCAGATACAAGCTGGTGGGCTGATCTCAGGTTGTTGGGTCGGAAGTCCCCATTTACTGGGCCCTTGCTGCCTTCCCAGTGCTGGGTTTTATGCATTATACCCAAAATGCTAATGAATCCTGTACTTTGCTATTAAGATTCCACAGTTTGGAGCACTGTTTCTCAAACCAGCTTCCCACCAGCTGGAGCCCTTAAACCATTCGCAAACAGAAACAAATACGACACTAAAGAAGCCGTGTTGATGTGAACAGCTGCCTGGAAGGGAAGGAGAGCTGTGAAACGCACCAGGAAAAAGCAGCAACTTCACTGTGTTATTAAATCATGGATTTGCAGAGTTGGAAATGACCCTGAGGGTCATCTAGTCCAACCTCTTAAAATACAGGAATCTCAACTAAATAATACATGCGAGATGGCCACCTTACCGCTGCTTAAAAACCTCCAAGGAAGCAGAGTCCACCACCACCCGGGGGAGTCCATTCCTCTGTTGAACGTTTCTTAGCATCAGAAAGTTCTTTCTGCGGTTTTCTTTCTTTCCTTCCTGTAAGTTCTGTGTAGAGCTCTATGCACATTGCTTGGTAACAATAAATAATTAGCCTGTGGAATTCAGTGCCAAAGGTAAAGGTACCCCTGACTGCTATGTCCAGTCGCAGACGACTCCGGGGTTGCGCGCTAATCTCGCTCTATAGGCTGAGGGAGCCGGCGTTTGTCCACAGACAGCTTCCGGGTCATGTAGCCAGCATGACAAAGCCGCTTCTGGCAAACCAGAGCAGCTCCCGGAAATGCCATTTACCTTCCTTTTTATCTACTTGCACTTTGATGTGCTTTTGAACTGCTAAATTGGCAGGAGCAGGGACCGAGCAACAGGAGCTCACCCCGTCGCGGGGATTCGAACCGACGACCTTCTGATCGGCAAGCCCTAGGCTCTGTGATTTAGACCACAGCACCACCCGCGTCCCTCATTCAGTGCCATAGCATGTGGCAACTGTCACTTTGTTTTTGCTTCTAAGAGAAATTCACAGAGCATCTAGGGAGTTGGAGTGGGGGAATAGTAAAAACAGGTGGCAAATCAAGTCGTGATAGCTACCGTAAATGGATACATGTCCATTGAAAATAATGCAGGAGGCATTTCCTCTGTACATGACTGTTTCATTCTTCCTATCTACCATGGCAAAAAGCAAAGAGAATTGTCTTCCTGGATCAGATCAAAGTCTGACTTAAGTCGAGCATGCTGTTTGCAACAGTGGCCAAATAGGTATCTCTGGAAGTTCACAAGCAACATGTAAAAGCAATGGCCACTCCATTGTTTGTCTTCTGCAACAGCATCCCTTTTGCAAACAGAATGCTGTACTGATACTGTTGCTGATTGCATCCAGCAATGCAATCCTTAAGTATTTAATAAATAAATATGTTTCTTACAAATGCAGAATGAGTATCTATCTGTAACACTGCCAGTTCCACAGCCAGTTCTGTTGCCCTCAAGACCCTTCCACTTAACATATGTCCTACATAAAAAAAGTAATATGAAAACATTCCTGCATACACTAATTCACACATCTGTGCACAAAATTAAAGATTGTCTAGATCCCATTATCTCACAGGTCTACTGTTTTCCACTTTTCAAGCTGACTGAATGCGCCCTTTTTGATAAAGACGATATATTTCACAATCAGCCTGGCTTGTTTACAATTTGATATTTTTAAAAGATTTAATTTCATTTTCTCCCTACAACGTATGCAACCAGACAAAGCAAACCTGCAGGGAAAAAATGTTAATAGAACATGGCAGAAGTTAAAAAGGTAGACCAAAGAGTTGTAAACTATGTCAGGTTGTACTACAACTGCCTCGACATCAGACTTCGTTCTAATATGGAATTCAAATTAGAAAAGACAGAAAAATATAATTAATGCCATAAAATATAGCTCTGTGAGAAACAGAATGCATTAAGGACTCGGGTTTTTTCAATATAAAAAGTATAAATTTATTGGTAAATTAATGTGGCAGAGTTAATTTGTTTGTAGAAAAACCATTTTGTTTCTATTTGGATTTCTTATGAGTTAAGTTCTAATGGGTATTGATAAATTAAAAGTGATTGAAGGTAGAGTAGGACTGTCAGTTCAACTATACCAAAAGAGTTTGAAATGAAAATAAAGGGAGTATTTTCTGTTTTTATTAGTATTAACAAGAGATAAGGAAGGGTTCGGTTTTAGCTAGGAAGAATGTGAAAGAGGGGGTTAAAATCCTAACAATTGAAAAGAACGAAAAGGTTAAAACACCAAAACATTTGTTATGGCATAAGTTTTCATGGGCTAGAGTTCACTTCACCAGAAGCATGTTTAAGCACAACAAGTAAATCCTTATAGAACTGTGTCCTTATAAAGTTGAAATGGATGCTGCATTGTCTAAGTCTGATTATTTTGTGGAAACGTTCCTTGTTCAGGCTCTGTGTGGCAGAACATAGCTACTCCTTCATCTGGCGTTATCCCCAGCAATAAGGCTTCACTATTGGGTCATAACTAATAGGCCTCATCCTTTATTTATAGTAGTACCACTATGTGAATGTATGCTGACTCATTATTTTTGCTTCATTTCCGGACATCTTCAACACGATAGAATGGATGCATTCTTGTTGCAGTACTATGTCATCATTCTGTTGACAGTTTGGGAAATGCCCATACAATGGGGCCAAGAAGGGTGGTGAAGATAATGAGAATTAATTAAAAAAGCATTCAAGAAATATTAGTAAATAATATTTTAATGAAAATATTTGGTCTTGGGGCAGCAGTGGAACAGTAAAAAGAGATAAACAGCAAGGTGGGAGAAGGATAGAGACATTGTGCTCATCAACACGTGGCAAAACACCAGAAAGTAACCAGAATCTTTAGCCAGGAAATTAAGTGGCGCTGAATGTAATAATTGCACAAGTGGACATGACAAGAAGGAAGGGACTGAGGAAGAAGTGTAGGTGGCTGTGGTCTGCATATTGATTGTGGGCTTTTAACAGGAGAGAAACCAGATCTGTCATGACTTCACCAATTCTGCTGAATTGGTGGGAAGCAAAAAGAAAAGGGGGGTGAGTAACAGAGGGAGAAGGGATGCGGGTGGCACTGTGGGAGCCTAGGACTTGCCAATCAGAAGATCGGCGGTTCGAATCCCCGCAGCAGGGTGAGCTCCCGTTGCTTGGTCCCATCTCCTGCCAACCTAGCAGTTTGAAAGCACGTTAAAGTGCAAGTAGATAAATAGGTACCGCTCTGGAAGGAAGGTAAGCGGCGTTTCCGTGCGCTGCTCTGGTTCGCCAGAAGCGGCTTAG